AAAATGACAATACAATTCAAAACAAGTTTGTGGAAATTTTAGACCAGTATATTAAAACCTTTCTTTGTCTCCATCACTTGACAGATGGTTAGCCCTCACACAGCCTAGTATCTCTGGCAAAGAAATGATTATGTCTAGCCAATAACATCCCAAATTTTGACTTAAAATGCACTGTACACATGCTTAGACTTACCTCACAAATATTAATAAAGTTAGGCTTATTTTATTCCTATAAAAAATTGACACGTCAAGATTTTTTTTGTACTATTTGAAACTCAACCAACTTATGTAGATTCAGGTTCTATGAAGTTTCCATCCAATTTAGGTTTCATTGGTCATATGGACTGCTTGATAAACATGCTTTTAAAACTGAAGAGTATCACAGAATTTACAAAATTTAATTAGCTTGTGGTTCTATGTTGCTCAAAAGAAAGTTCTGGTAACTAAGAAACTATATTAAACAATATAAGTTGGGAATTTCTAATACATTCCATATCAAGGACCACAGAGCAAGACTGAATTTGTCCAGTATCAGAATGTCTTTATTTGCAAACTGTTCATATGTAAATACACACATACGCATACATAATGCACATTCATCGTTCTCTCTTATTAGAAACAAAAATTTAGTGTTTAACATTTTATTAAACATTCTTCAACTTACCTCTATTAAAATATCTCTTTTGGCAGGGCTAATCCTAGCTACTCAGGAGCTGAAATCTGAGGATCACAGTTCAAAGCCAGCTAAAGGGCAGAAAAGTCCCTATGAAATTCTTATCTTCAATTAAACACTCAAAATCTAGAAGTGTCACTTGCTCAAAGTGGTAGAGCACTAGCCTTGAGCAAAAAAACCTCAGGAACAGTGTACAGGCAGAGTTCAAGCCCTACGACTGACCAAAAAAAGTTTCTTCGATTAGTTTAAAATTTTTCTATTTCCTTCTCAGGCTTCCTATTTTTAGCTTTCACATGGCTGATTGGTATTGCATATAAATAGCCAAAGAGTAGTTAAAGCCAAAGACTGTATGAAATGCATTAATTTGTGTCCTTTCTGGAAAAGTTTGATTTTGCTACAAACTAGCCTAAACTAAAGACCTAACATAAGTATAGACATACAAAATCTTAACAGTTGAGGATGAGAGGAGTGGGGAAGAGAGGATATATATAATAAAATAAGCTAATAATTTGCTAACAAAGTTAGACTCACCATTACAGAGAAAATTAATGAAAATCAGAGCTACTTATGTGAGAACTATGAACCAATTTTGAAAAAGTGAAGTACCCACTACCTGAAGCCACTAACTCAGAGTTAAACTACACACTCATTTAACTCAGGCACCTTTCCTTCTGTTAGAACCTAGGATTTTTCCACCTACAGATAAAATGATTAAAATAATTCTAAAATCTGTAATGTTCCTCTTGTACTATAAAGGTCTATTAAATAAGAGAGGTGCCAATCAAATGCTTTAAATTTTTTTAAATGTTTAAATAACAAAGCAATTTTTGCAGGTCTCGCTCTTATCTCTTTAATGTCACCTATTAATTAATTACAACAGCTTTCATCCTGATAAAACCACACCTATAAAAGATTGTGATGCTTGATTTTTCAACAATTTTCCTAATACAAATCGTAACCAAAAACTAACAAATATTCTAGCATTCATTTTACCACCCTTTGCTAACAAGACAATGGTACATGGGAACTTTAAAGTAAATTTCAAAAGAGATTTTAAAATATAAAGCAACATTTTATTTATTTCACAGACATGCTTAAAATTATGAAAATATATTACCACTACCTGTCAAAAAAGACTTACTTAACAAGCAGGGCACTGGTGGCTCATGCCTGTAATCCTAGCTAATCAGGAGGCCGAGATTTAAGGATCCCTGTTCAAAGCCAGCCCAGGCGGGAAAGTCCATGAGACTATTATCTCCAATTAATCAATAGAAAATGAGAAGACTTACTGACATAGATAGAGAACATTTTATGACAATAACAAAAAAAAAACACAAATTAGCTAACTAAGGTTTCCTGGTCATTGGCAATTGGGAAACACCTCTTTCTCAAATTTCCATAAGCTCTTTCAAACCACTTTATAAAATGAGAAAGAGGCTATTCAAAGTTTTGTTGGAAAACAAAATCTCTTCTCCTAGCAATGAGCATACAAAATGTATGTAACATTACAACACATATTCCACTAGGGCCAACAATTTTTTTCTCTTATTTACTATTGTAATCCAAGTACCTAGAATAATGTCTTGAATAATTTGATGATTTAACCATCCATTTTAGAAAAAAAACACATGATAATTAGAAAATAGAGTCCATTAAGCTTCTCTTCCATATTCCAAATGTTTAAAAGAAGCCTCTCCTTACCACTTACTCTGAAGATACTTGGAATAATTTGAAATTCATTTATAAATTATGGATCCTTTACAGGAATTTAGTTGTAGCTTTTACTGCTTTCCTAAAATGACCTAATTATTCAGTATAGCTTTTTTCTAGTAAGTCTAATTTGTCTAGAAAGACTTCTGAAGACTTATACTAATGAGACAAAAATAATATTTTCAGTGGCTTTCCCTTAGATTTTCTTTCTATATGAAGCTGTCAAATTCTTAGTAAACTGACAAAAAAGTTGGATATTTGTGAGTCTTAAAAACGTTCCAACCTAAGTACATAAGAAAGGCATGACACTAGAAGGATGATGCCTTATCTCCCTGTAGCCCTCAAATTAAAGCTTTCTCTTTCCTTGTTATTCTACTTACATTGTTTTTCAGTAGCTAGTCAACATACACACGATCTATGTGCATTTCCTTAGCATGACAGCAGTATATGAACACTAGCCTAAAGAGCTGAAAGTAAAGACTTCTTCCTGCTAATGATAAAATTTTACATTTTAGAATCTTAAACATCTTTCTTTTAGCCTGTAAAAATGAAAACTTTATCATGAAAGGGTATATTGCTTTGTTGTGAAAGGCCTGTATTCTACTTGTAAGATCTAAAAACCAAAACTCAAAACTACTCAACTGCCTAAGCAGGTAGTACATTTCTAGAAAATTTGCTTTGTTTGTCACCTATTTACTTCAAAATTGTGTTCACAAACCTAAAGCCTTTCAAATCTGAGCTAAATTGAAACATCACACCCTCAATCTGGGGAATTACAATTTAAGCACAGAACAAACAGTGACTAGCATCACTGATTCCTCGAGGATAATGCCACAATCTTTCTTGGGAGAAGTGGGTTCAAGATTATGTATTACTCAGACACACTCTGATTATGAATGAAAATGATCAAGGGCATTAAAAAATCAATGTAATTTTTTTTCTTTTACAAAAGGTACAGCCATATGTAGGTGTAAGGCAAAAACAAAAAAAAAAGGTAGAATGAAGTGAAATCTTGACTCTTACAGACACTTTTAAGGAAGGAGGGTAGAGAAGAAATGCAGTCTATTCCCACATGACTGAAAAGGGGCCTTGAGATTAGGAACTGAAATGAAAATAAATCATTTATAAATTTAAGTTAATGATTACTATTTAACCTGTCTTGACAGCTATAGAATTTACAAAACGACTGCATATTTTAAAACTTTTAACAGCAACAAGTTACAGCAGTAACTTTAGAACAGAGTTCATTGGAACACATGGAAGGGAATGGGTGACCTCTGAAATTCACACAGGGACATGCAGTGAGCAAATTCCACTTCGGCAACATTTTGCTATTAAAAAAAACTGCAAAAAAAAAAAAAAAGAAAGAAAAATAGTGAAGACCATTTGCACACCTCTAGAAATGTAACCTGTTCCACTTCGCTTGGGTCAGTGCTGATTCTAGGGACAGTCCTACAACCCACAGGCTCCCCAATTACTTGTTTCATTCGGACTTTGTCTTTTTTTTTTTTTACTAGAGAGCAGTCATCACCCTGGTCCTGACCTCCTTCAACCCAGTTCCGAGGTAAGAGATCAGTGGATTACCGCGTTAGGTAGTGTAGTTGTACGCCATATTGTGTTTTTCGCTAATGTTTATAGTTTGTGTGTGTGCCTAGCATATGCTTGTACAAGTGTGTGTTTATCAATAGAACTTTTCGGGAAAATCCCTGCCTCCTGCCTTCAGCAGCCTTCTAAAGATGATCAGGTTGGGAGGATGGGGGGGGGGGGTGGAGACACCAACGAGCCACACGGACAGGAAGGCATGGAAATGGTGATCGCGATGAAACTTCCCGACGCCTCCCGCTCTCTTTTATCGCAGGTGTCAAAACGCGTCCACCCATGTATTATTATTATTATTACTTAAAACTGTTTCCAAGGAGGACCCAGGAAAAGAAAGGTGGGTAGTAACTCCTTTCCCCGAAGCCGGTGGCTGCGGGGCCCAGGACCCCTTCCGTCCACCCCCCGCCTACTCCCCTCCCACCCCCCCCCTCCCACCCCCCCGCCCCCCTTCCCCAACCCCGAGGGCTCCGACTGCGCTCCAGAGCCAGCGCGCGCCCGGGCCAGCGCGTGCGGGTCGGGCCGGGGCCGGGACGAGGGCGAGGAGGGAGGGGACCAGAGACACGCGGGCGCCAAGAGCGGCTCCCCCCCGCCACCCCAACCCCGGTTCGGCCCCCTCGGCTCCTCTTCTGACGTGCCAGCGGCAGCTCCAGGCGCAGGGAGTTAAAAGAGAGCGAGAGAGAAGGCGGAAGATAGGGTTCCAGCGGCGGGACGCCCCGCCCGCTCCAGACAACACCCGCGGACCCTCCCCGCCGGGTCGGGTGAGGCCACCGCGGGCGCGAGGAGGGGCGTCCGGAGCGGGGGCGCGCGCGCGCGCGCGGGGCGGGGCCGGCCACCCGCCGGCGGGCTCTCCCCGCTGAGGAACTCACTCCCCTTCCCCAGCCCCACCCCGCTCTCCTCCTTCCCGCCCGGCCGCCCCCAACTCCCGGAGACACGCAGACGCCAGGACCCGCACGGCTCGCACACACACCCCTCCCGCCAGCTCACCCGCCCCACAACAAATTAGAGTTTTTGGCGTTACCTCCTCGCGCTCTTTAATCTTCTTTCCTCAACTCCTAAACTTCCCCCCGCCCCTACTTCTCCGGCAGAAGGCCCACATTGGGCGCTTCACTCGAAGAACCTCTAGGTTTCCACACTATTGGGTAACTCTCATGTCACTCTGGGCTTCAGTGGGCCAATAAGAACGTAAGGACCCTCGTGAGGTTGCCGCCCATAAACAAAATACACTCTTCCTCCTCCCTCCTCTGTCCCCGCCCTCAACTACTCCTTCCCTCATCACTTCCATTTTCGATTGGACCAAGAGAGACCCAATCCGCTATTTCACACAATCATTGGTGCATGGACACTTCGCTCAAAATAATACTAACAAACGATTGGTCGAGCATTCTCTCACTCCTCCCACCTCCCGCCGCAGCTTCTCCCACTCTGGAAAGGTCAGTCGCATCTCGTTGTTCAGTGATCCGAGAACTGTAAAACTATTGGTCGAGAGAGCCCGTCAGACCGGACTGGACTGAGCGTTGATTCGTCGATACTGACACTATCAAGTTAGGTTGTTTACTCCTCCGCCCCTTCCCTCCCACCCCCTTTTCCTCCACGCCCCCGCCTCCTCTCAACTGCTTTTACTTTCTACGCATTTCTATTTCCTCCTTTATTTATTTATTTGTGATAAACTTAAATGACCCGGCGATGGAGGCGGGACTGGAAGAGAGGCCGGAGAATGACGAGTGGCGGTTTGAGGCCAATTGCTGAGGGGGCTTCAGGGTGAGGGGCAGCGGTGGTGGCCAGTGAGAGGCAGGTGTCTGGAGCGCGCTGGGCCTATGGAGCCGGGATGCCCCAGCGGAGGCGGCGGTTATCCGCTGTCTGGCGCGACGAGACGCGCGGGAGGGGAGGGGGGGAGGTGGGGGGGGCAGAGGGGGGAGGGGCTGTCGCCGTCGCCGAAGGCTGAGGCCGCTGGATGGAAGCTGGATTCTGGGCGGTGGGCGGGAAAGCAGGCCGGAGGCTCTGGCGTGGCTGCGGCCCCAGGCCACTCCGGGCCAGCCTGGGTTCTTCCAGAACGGGGCATCGGTGGCCCCACCAGGTCTGGAGAGTGCCAGGACCCAAAGCGAACGTGGAAGATGTTAGAAAAATACCCTGTAAACCATGTTGGAGTCAGCCGCCACGCTCAATACAAATGAAGATTTATTATCGGGGGGGGGGGGGGATTATGTTCCTTGTTACTAAACGACTTAAGCACCGGGGACCCAACTGGAGCCCACAAAATTCGATATCCTGGGAGCTGCAAGGAACAAATAAAGCAACACGGAAAATTAAATGCGGTTCAGATGCTTCAATAAAACCTTCATTCTCATCCACTTGTCACTCAACGTAGCACTCCCCAGAGCCAATTCTAAAGAAAAACGCTGGTCCTGTACTAAGTCTTGGAGGGAAGGTGGGGGGGGGGGGATGCTGGGGAGGGTAGAGGATCTCTGAGGCTCAAGGCCAGCAGGAAACCCAGGATGGATTCCTAAAAAGACTTCCTTAAAAGGACTAAGAAGGAAAAAAAAGAATTGCCTCTAACCTCGGAGGAAAACAATTACTACCAAAATAAGAAGTGGCACTTTTTTTTTAAGGAACTTAAATAGTAACTTGTCACCAGCCAAGGGGCTTTGTCAGAAATAGCATTCATACAAAGAATATGCTGTATTTGCAATGTGAAAATAATGTTTATAAGATGTATAACTTTCAGTAAATTGGCATCAGCTCATCCGAAATATAACCGAGTCTTGCCACATACTACTTGCTTTCCACACAGGGTGCCTGGCTTTGGCTAGAGATCTGCCAGCTGAACCTGAGCAAAATAACTTAGAGCTGGTGGATAGAAAAGAAAAGGCACAATACTTCAAACTCAAACTTTTATATTCATCTTGAGGATTTTATGTATAAGGCTCTCAGAACCTACAAAATTAGCAGGGTACAAAAGGGTACAAAATACTATTGAGTGTGAAAGGCAAAAATGTTTTTATTTGTAAATGTAGCTTAAACTGACATAGTGACCATTTGAAATGCTTCATACAAAACAACTTCACAGGAGAAAATTCTGTAAAATTAACCAAACTACTCAGCTAATCCCATAACTTCTTCCAGAAGCAATGCTTATTGGAAATTGAAGCTAGATTTGGCATTTTCCCCCCAAAGATCTCTGAACAGAGAGAAGAGGCCATGATACATGTGGCAGAATACATGGGAAAACAGAAATAAGATTGCTTAATGCCTAAAAAATTAGGAAGATTGTAGTGCACTGAATTTACCACTACTTAATATTTAAACTTAAAATATTTAATGAAGGGGGGTGGGGATTCAGGAGGGAAGGACAATAGGAGAATAACAAGGGAATGAGTAACAAATTTGACAAGAAATGTACTTACTACTTATTTTGTTAGAAAAATGCTAATGGTCATTTGAGCTTTCAGTGGGAGATAAAATCTTTTTGATAATGGATTTAATATTGATGACTGAGCATCAATAAGAATGGATTGCTTCTGTTTATTTATGTGGCTGCTATTAAATAAGATAAGGGCCTCAAATCTAAAATATACTTAGAACTCAAAAAATTAAATCCTCCAAAAACAAATCCTCAAAGAAACAACAGCCCTATCAAAAAGTGGGCAAAAGAGTTAGAGACTTCTCTGAAGAGGAAATAAGAATGACCAATAGACACATGAAGAAATGCTCAACTTCTCTGGCCATAAAAGACATGCAAATCAAAACAACATTGAGATTCCACCTCACTCCAGTTAAAATGGCTATAATAAAAAAAAAAACTCTAATAACAACAAATGCTGGAGGGCATGTGGCCAAAAGGAAACCCTACTGCACTGTTGGTGGGAGTGTAAAATTGTCCAATGACTGGAAATCAGTATGGAGGTTCCTCAAAAGACTCCACATTGAGCTCCCCTATGACCCAGCAATCCCACTTTTGGGCATTTACTCAAATGATCACAAACAAGGCCATACTAAAGCTACGAGCACAACTATGTTTATTGCAGTATTATATACCATAACTAAGATATGGATGCCCCTCAGGAGATGAATGGATCAAGAAAATGTGATACACACACACACACACACATGAATTCTATGCCTCCATCAGAAAGAATGACATCACCCTATTTGTTAGAAAATGGAAAGACTTGGAAAAAAATTTTATTAAATGCAGTAAGCCAGTTCCACAGAAATTTAGGTCCCATGGTTTCCATTATTTGCAAGAATGAGTATACATATAGGATAATCTTATCAGATGAGCTGAAATGCTCAAAAGCTATGTACATATGACCATATAAGATGATGCTAAGTGAAATGAGCCCCAACATATGGTCACTAGAGTTCTGTCTTTATTATTGTTTTAAATGTACCATGTGGCATATCCCCTGTTATCACTCTACTTGATTTTGGTACCCTGCATCTTGTATATAAATATGTCTAATCTGGACAGGGGAAAGGGAATAAAAAATTCTGACCCATTGCAACAAGGATACCTACCAGACAGAATATTGGAAACAAACTGTCAGGCAGGGGGAAGGGAGATGGGGTGGGGTAGGGAGGAGTGTGTGAGGTGGGAGAGGGAAGGGATAGTGGGACAACAAGAGGAAGGGAAGGGGCAACAATGAGGGACAAGTAATGTACTCATTGCCTTACTCATCTAACTTTAACCCCTCTGTACAGCATCTTTACAATAAAAAAGAAAAGAAAAATAAGACACCAATGAGGTTTGTTGCCTCAATTCTTTCTTTCATGGAAGAATTTCTCTGTAGTATACAATACTACTTCATAGCATTTATCCTACAGTATAACCTTTTTCTAAAGTTGACATCAACCCTTTAAAAGTCTGCTGTTACTTTATTAAATAAAGTTGATGTAGTATTCTAAATTCTTGGTCGTTTAAATAATGTTCACTGTATCTTATAACAAGCATAGGTTCTATGACCAGAAACAACTTCGCTTGTCCATAAGAAATAAAACTTTTCCTCATCTGTTAAAGTTTTATCATGAATCACAGTTGCCACTTCTAATTCTAGTTCTCCTACTATTTCCAAATATCGCACCCTTTATTGATGTCTTGAATCCTGCAATGGTTGGAGTTAACTTCTTCCAAACCCTACTAATATTTATGTTCTCATGAATCATAAATGTTCCTAATGGCATCTTCAATGGCAAACTCATTCCAAAGGTTTTTAATTTACTTTTCCCAGATGCATCAGAGGAATCACTACATAGGGAAGCTGAAGAAATATATTTCTGAAGTAATAAGACTTGAAAGTCAAAACGACTTCATGATCCATGGGCTGCAGAATAAATGTTCAGTTAGCAATCATGAAAAAACATTTTTAATCCCATTGACATCTCCAGCAGGGCAATTGAGTGTCTAGGTTCGATGTCAGTGAGCAATAATATTTTGAAAGGAATTTTTAAGTTGGCTTACTATTTAGGTAACCATACCATAAACAGATGTGCCATTCTCTAGACCTTGTTGTTCTATTTATAGAACATAGGCACAATAGATTTGGTATAACTCCTAAGCCACAGAATTCTCAGATCAGTAAATGCATATTGACTTCAGCTTAAAGTCACGAGCTGTACTATCCCATACCAAGAGAAACAGCTTATTCTCTAAAGCTTTGAAATGAAGCATTGGCTTTTCTTCACTACCTACAAAAGTCCTAGTCTCTTCTTTCCAGAGAAGGAAGACTGCTTTGTTTACATTGAAGATCTGTTGTAAAATGTACCTTCCTTCAGCAGTTATCTTAGCTGAATCTTCGAAGTGGCGCTGTGGCTCAAGTGGTAGAGGGCTCACCTTGAGCTGAAGAGCTCAGGGACAGCGCCTAAGCCCAGAGTTCAAGTCCCACAACCAAAAAAAAAAAAAAAAGCAATTCTCTTAGCTGAATCTTATAGACAACTTGTTACGGCTTCTACATTAGCACTTGCTGCTTCACCTTGATTTTATTTATTTTTTTATTTTTTGGTTGGTCATGGGGCTTGAACTCTGGGCTTGGGCGCTGTCCCTCACCTCTTCAGCTTAAGGCTAGCGCTCTACCACTTGAGTCACAGTGACAC